GAATCTCCCGCCAAGGTTTCTATTGGTTCCCCTAGTGGACCTGAGGAGCCTAGCCTCTATTGTTCTTTAGGAATCAAGCTCTGCTCGCCTGGCCACTGCCTAGTGGCGGTTTCCAGGACACAACAGAGACTCCCTGAGATAAGTATCAAGTAGCATTTTTATGGGGAGAGGAATTCTGTCACGACATTTGGTTTTTTAGATATAGCCATTGATTCCTCTTATTCTGCTTCTTTTCTCTTAAAAGAGGGATTTCTCTTTGAAGATAAATCCAACCACCATTTTATAACTTCAGTCCTTGCAGGTGTTTTGGGTTACAAATCACAGACTGCGCTCTAGCAGGAGGACAGGAAGGTTTAGGAAGACATTACTTGTCTCTGAACATCTACAGAGCGAAATTCTAAAATTGCACAGCACCTCCCTTCAAATTTGTCTTTGATCAAATGGGGATTGATTTGGAACAGATTCCAAATTCCTCAAAAGAGGAAATGAAACAGGTTGATGGACTTCAGAAAGAAACTGGGTGAATAAGAGGAATTAAGAGAATTTCTCTTAACAATACTAGTGCCCAGCAATTAAATCCAGAGAGCGTTAATTAAACTAAGCCATGGTCCCCAACCATTCTGAGCCTGTGGGTGCCTTTGGAATTCTGACAAACGGTGGTGGGCATAAGCACAAAACGTCTGCCAGGGGAGGCAGAGCCAATCAGAAAATGGCTGCCAAAGGAGGTGGAGACAAGACCCAGAAGAAATCAAAGGGACAAAGGAGAAGGGGTGCAATTTTTAAAAAATACAGTGGGAACGAGGAGAGGATAAAACCAACATTGTGGTGGCAGCGGCTGCTGAAATGTTATTTTCATCTACAACTAATCAGATTTCCAGTGGCCAATCAGAAACCCTGCTAGAAAGAGCCCCCCCTCTTTTTAAAAACTTTGGCAAGTACCAGAGAAGGCGCTGGTGGGTGCCATGGTGCCCATAGGTGCCATTTTGGGAACCCTGGATTAAGACCTAGAAGGGCACTTTAAACATAGTTAGGACTGTGCTGTGTATCCTTGAAAAAAAAAGTGTGTTATAAATAAATATTGGGGCCTGGAAGAAATTATTCCACAGGTCAGAATGGCTATATAACAATTGGTTAGGCAGGATATAACACCCCTTCCCCTAGTGCTTTGCTAAAAACAAAAATAATAATCAGCCCCTCACAGCTGCTTTGAAGTAAATTTAAAAATGTTGGGGAGATCTGAGCAGGTTTTTGTTTTGTTTTTTAAATGTTACTTTCAAGGGAGACACTCTGCACAGGTTCAGAACCAGGTACCTACATTGGAACCAGGTACCTACATTGATCTATCTGAAAAACTACTCCCTGCCTAACTGAAAAGGTACTGTGCAATTGTCCATTAAAAATATAATTTTATAATAACGATAATTAACAAAGCACCTAAAGTATAATCTAATAACCACAACAGGGAATGACTGAAAAAAGAAAGGGCAAAATCCAAGGAGACTGTACAGTTTGCTTCACAAGGGATAGGCAATCTTCACATGCTACGAGACACTTAGAAGGCAATCCTAAACAGGACTGCTGAGATTTAAGTACCATTTTATTCAATACGGCTTACTCCCCAGAAAGTGTTTTTAGGACTGCAGCCTGCAGTGCAATCCTCAACAGAACAAGACCTTTCTAAATTGATTGGTTTTAGAACTGCATAAAAAAAACTATGAACTATGGACGGAGGTTCGTGACATTGTACAGGAGGCAGCAATCACCACCATCCCAAAGAAAAAGAAATGCAAGAAAGCAAAGTGGCTGTCTGATGAGGCTTTACAAATAGCAGAGGAAAGAAGGAAAGCGAAAGGCAAAGGCGAAAAGGAAAGATTTACCCAACTGAATGCAGATTTCCAGAGAACAGCAAGGAGAGATAAGGAGGCCTTTCTGAATGAACAGTGCAAAGTAATAGAGGAAAACAATAGAATGGGAAGGACTAGAGATCTCTTCAAGAAAATTGGAGAAATCAAGGGAGCGTTCCATGCAAAGCTGGCCATGATAAAGGACAAAAACGGTAGGGACCTAACAGAAGCAGAAGAGATTAGGAAAAGATGGCAAGAATACACAGAAGAACTATACAAGAAAGACCTCGATGTCCTTGACAACCACGACGGTATAATCACTGACCTCGAGCCAGACATCCTGGAATGTGAAGTTAAATGGGCCTTAGAAAGCATTAGTAACAACAAAGCTAGTGGAGGTGATGGTATTCCAGCTGAGCTATTCAAAGTCTTAAAAGATGATGCTGTTAAAGTGCTGCACGCAATTTGCCAGCAAATTTGGAAAACGCAACAGTGGCCACAGGATTGGAAAAGGTCAGTATACATTCCAATCCCAAAGAAGGGCAATGCCAAGGAATGTTCAAACTATCGCACAATTGCACTCATATCACACGCTAGCAAGGTCATGCTCAAGATCCTACAAGCTAGGCTTCAACAGTACGTGGATAGAGAACTACCAGAAGTACAAGCTGGGTTTCGAAGAGGTAGAGGAACTAGAGATCAAATTGCCAACATTCGCTGGATTATGGAGAAAGCAAGAGAGTACCAGAAAAACATCTACTTCTGCTTCATTGACTATGCTAAAGCCTTTGACTGTGTGGATCACAACAAACTATGGCAGGTCCTTAAAGAGATGGGAGTACCAGACCACCTCACATGTCTCTTGAGAAACCTGTATAAGGGCCAAGAAGCGACAGTTAGAACCGGATACGGAACAACTGATTGGTTCAGCATAGGAAAAGGAGTACGACAAGGATGTATACTGTCACCTTGCTTATTTAATATATATGCAGAGTACATCATGCGAAATGCTGGCCTGGATGAATCACAAGCGGGAATTAAGATTGCTGGGGAACAGACTGTGACTGCAGCCATGAAATTAAAAGACGCCTGCTACTTGGGAGGAAAGCGATGGCAAACCTAAACAGCATGATAAAAAGTAGAGACATTACCCTGCCAACAAAAGTCCGCATGGTCAAAGCAATGGTATTCCCAGTAGTCATGTATGGCTGTGAGAATTGGACTATAAGGAAGGCCGAGCGCCGAAGAATAGATTCTTTTGAACTATGGTGCTGGAGAAGACTCTTGAGAGTCCCTTGGACTGCAAGAAGATCAAATCAGTCAATCCTAAAAGAAATCAACCCTGACTGTTCCCTGGAAGGCCAGATAATGAAACTGAAGCTCAAATACTTTGGCCAAACTTCAGAGGACAGCGGAAGACAGGAGGGCCTGGCAGGATCTGGTCCATGGGGTCGTGAAGAGTCGGACTCGACTGTGCGACTGAACAACAAAGAACTGCATAAATCTGCCTAGGTTACCTGTTAGTCCTTATACTATTTGTCAATCAGGAAACTTTCTTCTTAGAGGAGTGGCAGTCTGTACATGCTCCAGGTCGTCCCATTCTTGAATCGACTGTGCGACTGAACAACAAAGAACTGCATAAATCTGCCTAGGTTACCTGTTAGTCCTTATACTATTTGTCAATCAGGAAACTTTCTTCTTAGAGGAGTGGCAGTCTGTACATGCTCCAGGTCGTCCCATTCTTGAAACAGGGAACAGAACAACCATAAGAGCAAGCACGCACTTGTAAGGAGGACTAGATTCTTGATAACCCAATTGAGTTGTAAGGATCTCACTTGTGCGGCTACAGCAGTCTGGTAGCATGATATTCACACTTGATTGGAAAGACCAGTGTGGCGGCTACAGTAGATAGCTCTGGGCTGGAAAATTCCTGGAGATTTGAGGCAGGGTGAAGCCCGGGGAGGACAGGATTGGGGGGGACGGACTTCAGTGGGGTATAATGCCAGAGTCCGCCTACCAAAGCAGCCATTTTCTCTAGGGGAACTGGTCTCTGTAGCTCAGTTGTAATTCCAGGAGATCTCCAATCACAACCTGGAGACTCGAAACTGTAAGTCCGCAGTTTGGTTTTTTTTAATGCTAATTTACAAGTTGACTACTTTGAAAGCTGGGGAAGGGTCCTGGGAGGAGGATAGAATCACAGAGTTGGAAGGGACCTCCAGGGTTGTCCAGCCCAACCCCCTGCACATTGCAGGAAATTCATAACTACCTCCCACCCACGCCCCCAGTGACCCCTGCTCCATGCACAGAAGATGGCCAAAACCCCCCCCCAAAACCTTCCAGGATCCCGGGCCATGAGAACTAAGCATTGATGCTGCCCTTCCTGCCTTCCCTCTCGTGACCTGCCTAAATTCACAGAATCAGCCAGATTTATAGTGAAATCCTAAACCCTTTCTGCTCCTAGATAGCCAGTAACCCCAACATGGATTGCGGGAACACCCTTTGCAAATTTCCCCTCCGTAGAAAAGAGTCCAGTAGCACCTTAAAGACTAACAAAATTTCTTCAGTATCTGAATTGAGCAATGACGACTCACGAAACCTCCTACCCTAACCCTGCCACAAATGTTAGTCTTTAAGGTGTTACTGGACTCTTACTCTTGTTTAGTGGCTGAAGAAGTGAGCAGTGACTCATGAAAGCTCCTACCCTAACACACATTTTGTTAAGCCTATAAAGGGGCTGCTGGACAGTTGCTCTTTTCTACTGCTACCGACAGACTAACACGGCCATCCATCTTTTCCTATTCTCCACACTCCCCTTTTCCCTTTGGACAGTCTGTTAAAAAAAACAACAACGCAACACTGGCTAGAGAGGGACACATTAGCCTCCATTTCCGGTTTTGAAACCAACAAACAACCCCGAAAGGCTCCATCGGCCTAGATTCGCTAAGGGCGTCGCCATTCTGTCCCTTGCCATCTCTATGGTGACGTATTCTCGGGAAGGCAACCGGACGTTCTCCTCAAGACAAGCGATGACGTCTCAGCGGCTCCACAAACAGCATCCGGTTTTGCAAGCAATGCATGTTGGGGTTTGTAGTCCGCGGAAGGGGAGCGTGTGCCAGGGTGCCGAGTTCCAGGCCCCGGAGTGGGCGTGTGAGGGCAGAGGGCGGGATGCGCTGACTGGCTGGCAAGTGCTGCGAAGGCAAAGGCGTGGAGCCGGTTCCGGCGGCCGGCTTTAGTAAGTGCAGCGCGGCTTGGTTGCATCAGCTGAAGCGTGGCTGGTGCCCCCGCGAGTTGAGGAGGAAGCCGCGGCGGGTCTCGGCAGCATGAGGCTGTTTGTCAGCGAAGGCAGCCCCGGCGGGCTCAAGGTGCTGGCGGCAGCCAAGGCCACCGACACTCCGGTAGAGCTGCAGTGGGTTCCGCATGACGGTGAGGACTAAGCTTGCCCCCATTGCCTTTTCTGCTGGCCTGGTGTTTCTCCTGGTAGGGCTTCTGTGTCTTCTTCTTGAGCATGGCATGGCAGAAGTTCAACAGGTAAAGCTGTATCTGGGGATGGGAGGAAGTGCCACCGGCTGAGTTCAGTAACTGCTTGAGCTAATACAAAGAGACGTCTGGCAGCGCCTTTCAGGCTAACAGGATTTATGTCACTGTTAAGGTTTTTTTTTGTTTGAATCAGGGGTCTTCATAAATTCAGGTAGGGCTTCTTCACTGAAATTAAATCGTGGGATCTGCTGCCAGGGGTGGGCTGCTTCTGCGTATTGTTGGATATGATGGCATTGGCACTATATAGGGAATGATTTCTAGGTGGGTTGGAATAATTTCCTACTGGGTTGACTTGTCCACATGGGGCAATCCGGCAGTGAATGATTGCGGTAGCTCACAGACAGTGGAATAGCCAGTGGTTTGTGGGTGCAGCCTTAGCCACTACCATAAATGGATTCAGACAGAATCATTCAGGAGAGGTCTGTCAGTGGCCACTAGCCCTGGTGCCTAAAGGGAAGTTTCACATTCAGAGGCAGTGAACCTCTGAATACTAGTGCCAAGTGCCAACATCAGGGGAAGGCCTCAGCCCCTCTGCTCCTGTCCTTTGGCCATCTAGAGTAACTGTTTGGCCACTGTGTGAGGCAAGATGCTGGACTGGATAGATTCCTAGCTGTGCTAAAAGAGCAGGAACCCAACCAGAAAAGTAGACAGCTGGGAAGGGGGAGTAACCTGGATTAGATTAATCATTCAGAGCATTTTTTTTAACCTACCTGTCTCCAGAACTGGACTCCATGCTGATAAAAACAACATAAAGATTCATAAGAACTAACAAATTAATCCAGTGATCACCATTGTCAAAAGCCCTCCTGAATAACTCTGCTGTCTTACACAGCTCACAGAAGCAATATGGAAATTTTCCTCATGGTTTCAAGAAGACTTATTCCATAGAAATGAGAGGAGCTGCTAAAAAAGGTCTAGATTTGGCAGTGGCTGACTTAATAACCACATTGGCAGGAATAACTAGTAGGTGTTAGAGGAGTTTATCATTTAGGGGAAAAAACTGCTACCATCTGCCTGTGCTCACCCAAGGAGGGTGGTTTCTTTAAATTAACTTTCTTTTTCCATGCCTGTTCAAAGTGATGGAGGCTGGAGGCTTTTAAACCCAGTTTGGAGATGACAATTGTACAACCGAAGTGCAGTGGTTATTCTGGATTGACTGAACACGTGGTCAGAAAAGTGTGATCTTGTGTGTGATGTATGTTCTTGTGGGACAGGTTATGGTAACAAGCTCTCCTTTGCATCCAGAAGCTTCCTTCTCATCGTCCTGGGATTGCCAGCCGTTGTCAGAGCTTCTGTGCCTTTATTCAATGCACAGGAGGCAGAAGTTGAACAGTCTTCTCCAGCATTTAGTAAAGGGGAAAACGTCACCAGCTGAATTCCTGTTTGTCACACAGTTACTCAAAATGTGGAAGCCCTATCAGCAAGTGTTGGACTTCCAGTTTTGTTGCCTCAACGATGGTCGCGTCTTCTCGGAGCTCCGAGAGACGCGTGCCGTGAATTAGTGGCTGGGAGGGGGTGCGATGGTCCGTGCCCCCCCTGGAGTTCCATGAGTGGGCTCCTAGCCATGGGGCTTTTGGAGAGCCCCTCCTCAGGCTGTTTGCCGACGAGGGGGGGCTACTCTTTGCCCCGAAGGTCCTGCCACTGATTCCCCGTAGGGGACTAGAAGTGAACACCGGGACAAGCGCTTGGAGGTTTTAGCGGCTATACTCTGCCCAGCGAGGTCCCAGGAACCCTACGGGAAACCTGATGAATCAATTGAATGCACGAGTGAGCTTGAGTTTAAACGAAACATCGAGGCTCGAATGCGAAGTCTCCCCAATATAGCGTGGTTAAGGGCGGAGGGGACGCCCTCCATTACTGACCACAAAAGAAGCGGGGCGGGAGACGAAGCTATGAGCGGCAAATGACTAGAGCAGAGAACACTTACAGAATAAAAGCGATTACAAGCCTTTGAGACTTTGGCACGATTTTTCGGCTAATGTAACCAATCCTTCAAGATGGCGAGGCGAGATGCTGAGGGAGGCGGGACCCAAGCTTCTTCAGGAAGAAGAAGATCGGGTAGGTCAGATGACCAACCATAGACTCTTCCTCTAACCAAATCGGGTGACATCTGCTGGCCGAAAGGAAGCGGTTTTTAAAGGGACAGTATTTGCAACGGAGAGGCGTGGAGCCGTGGATCAGGGGAGACTCGGAACTGTAGGGAAGCTTTGAAGCTTGGTTTATAATGGGATGGATCGGTGAGCAGACTGGAAAGCGGTTAGAGGGAGTGGAGGATTGATAGCGGTTACTTCTGCTCCTCGAAGCCTGCAAACCGATAGAGCGGTTGTTTTCATAAGCGCATGATCGATGGAATAGAAGGAGAGTCTTTTTGGTCCGAGGCAAATGAGGAGGCATGGACTGTTCCTGGAAGAGGCAGTATGCTGCGGCGGCCAGAGCAGAAGATGAAGAGACAACATGGAAAGAAGAGGATAGAGGGGTGTGACTGTTCGAGCTGAAGGAACTGTGGGTTCACCAATACTGGTTCTTGGGGGAGGGAGGCTGAGTTGCCATTGTCTGTAAAGGGTTGTGTTTTCTGTTTGATAATACGGGAATTGTTCCCTGTCTAGTCTGATAAGCGGGGTATGTTAACTGAAGTGACGATTAGGAGAACTCCTCATGCTGGCATGTAACTGTTTAAGAGTAACAAAAAGTTTTTATAAGCAACGTGTGACCTCCAACCGTGGGCTTTTAGTAGATTTTCTTTTTCCTTTTCCCTTAGTTTGTAGTGGCCCCTTCCTTCTTTCTTGGTAGTTTGTAGTTTGTTTAGAAATGCAAATAAAAAATTCCCCTTCGGGGGGCCAAAAAAAGAAGAAGCAAGTGTTGATAAACTGCCCTGGCCTGGATAGCCCAGGCAAGCCAGATCTCGGAAGCTAAGCAGGGTCGTCCCTGGCAAGTATTTGAATGGGAGGCCTCCAAAGAATACCAGGACCGGGAGGCAGAGGCAGGCTGTCAAGCCACTTCTCTGAACGTCCTCCATGCCCCAGTAGGAGTCGCCAGAGGTCTCCATGACTTCCAGGCATGTGCGCACACATACACAAAATGCAAATATATTTCTGTAGCTTATTTTAACAACCAGCAGCCTTGTTTAAAAGGTGATTGAGATCTTGGGCTCTATAACAAAGTTTGTATTTTAAAACGGACTATAGATTTCAAAAAATGCTCTATACGCACATCCATGCATAAATGTATCTGCTTCATAAGTTTTTGTTTATCACAATAGCTACTTGCTCCAAGATTGGAGGGATGTTCAAAAACTGTGCTCTTTGTGAATGGAAGAGGTACAGTAGCCATTTGGGTTGGGTTCCGAGGGTGTAAACTGTTTCCACTAATTTGTGTGGTTTGTGTTTTGTTTCCCCTCCCCCCCTTTGACAGCTTCTGTGGTTCCGTTCCTCACCCTTCCACGGGTGCCAGCCCTGCTGTTGGAAGGAGGGGCCTTCATGTTCTCCCCAAATGCAATTTGCCTGTGAGTATAAACTGCTGGATGCTCAGTTTGTGTTCCCAGAGCAAGCTGCTGCTGAGGTTACTTCTTCTGCATCTGTCATAGATAGGAACTCTAGGTCTGGGGCAAGTGATGCTCTGTATTCTTGGTGCTTGGGGGGCAATAGTGGGAGGGCTTCTAGTGTCCTGGCCCCACTACTGGGCCTTCTGATGGCACCTGGTATTTTTGGCCACTGTGTGACACAGAGTGTTGGTCTGGATGGGCCGTTGGTCTGATCCAGCTTTGGCTTCTGTTATGTTCTTATGTCATTTAGCATCATAACATCACAGTGATAAACTTTAGTACTAGTAGCAACCCAGGGCTTAGAGTTTGGGGGTACATGGAGCAGAAACGTGCAGGCTACTGGAGGATCCAGAGCGTAGGGTATGTTATC